CAATTAAAGCTTCCAGCTCCAATTATATCTCTGCTGTTATTATCAGAGATAAAACTTTCCTATATTTCAGTGGTTTAACTACTGATTTATTACTGCCCAGAGTAATAAATTAATCGCCCAGACTCACCTTGTAAGAGAGGTAGGCAGCATAGAAATTTAATAAATATTAAATAAATAAAATATTACTCTAAAACCATAGTACTTACTTTCACGTCACTTGCCTTCATGTCTGAAGGTACATTATATATTTTGCTGACTGCTTTCTCTTTTTCTTCTAACTCATTTCAAGTTAGCCAAAAGACTTAGGTGCTATATTGATTTATTTATGTTGCTCAGCAATCTCTAACTTATTGGTCTTTCAACACTTTGCAGTTTGATTATTATATGTAAGGCACCTTTATATATTTGTCCATCCTCTGATATTTATGTCCTTGATTTATTGCTTTATTTTCTTTTCAGTTTCATGGGTTTTTGGAGTTATTTAACAAAGCACTTGAACCCTTGATGTTAAGTAAAGCAAATAGTTGCTTAGCAATAACACTAGGAACAATAGACTTGTTGAATGATGGTATAATAAGGTTAATAAGTATAGTTGCATAACTGCACCATAGGTTTGGGCACAAAATAATAGAAGCAACCATTATTTCCTCATCTGAGCCAGTGAGATGATTGCTGAAAACTCCAAGTCTTTCAGAAGTTCAACATACTTGACAAATGAAGAGTGTTTTTTTCATCTGCAGTAAATCAGGATTTTATAGGTAGCTTGACACCTCTACAGCAACTCACAGTTAATTGTTAGAATGCTAGCTTTTTGAAACAAGGAAGAAAGTATTTCTCTTAAATGTTGGAAGGTCAATAATATTCCATTGGAAGTAGGATTCATAAATTTGAATATATAAACTCTTCTGCTCAAATATACTTAGGAAGTGAAGAGTCTATAGAAAGGTTTGCTGCAGACAAAGTACCAAACTAATGAAAATTTCTGTTTGGTCTATATGTATGTATTCTTTGAATGCATGTGTAGGCATTTAAAGAATACATTATTATTTAATCCAATTCCCACAACAACTGTACAACCCAACTGCAATACATGCCTTAGTGCACCAACTTGTAATTTCCATGATGTTTGGTCTGAATATTTCTTGTGACCAGTTTCTAATAATGATCTGTTATTGACTTACAACTATAATTAGGACCAGAATCTCAGTCATTGAGCAAAGCGGTCATTAAGTGAGATATTCATGTGACCATTTCGTTTAACGACTGCAGTTAAACGAAGATCCAAAGTTTGTTTCTGCAACCTGCTGTGGGATTTCCCCTGCTCTCCATGTGTGGGAGAGAACTCCTCCTGTCTCAAGACCTAAAATGGACACTTAACATCAAAAACATCATCAAAAAAGGACAACAAAGAATGTTCTTTCTGCATTAACTCAGAAAGCTCAAATTGTCCAAAGAGCTTCAATTCTACAGAGGAATTATTGAGTCTGTCATCTGCACCTCCATAACTGTCTGCTTTGGTTCTGCAACCCAACAAGATAGACACAGACTTCAGAGAGTAATTAGGTCTGCAGAAAAAATAATTGCTACCAACCTGCCTTCCATTGAGGACCTGTATACTGCACGAGTCAAAAAGAGGGCTGTGAAAATATGTGAAAATATTTACAGACCCCTCACATCCTGGACACAAATTGTTTCAACTCCTACTCTCAAAACGATGTTACAGAGCACTGCACACTAGAACAACTAAACACAAGAACAGTTTTTTCCCAATTGCCATCCCTCTGCTAAACAAATAATTCCCTCAACCAGGGGTGAGATTCAAATTTCTTAACAACCGGTTCTATGGGCGTGGCTTAATTTGTGGGTGTGGCTTGCTGGCTGGGCTTGGCTTGGTGGTCATGTGACTATGTGAACATGACCAACTCAATGTCATTCACGTCAAGGGGTGCCTCGCCTGGCCCCTCCCCTCCCAGCCATTCCTTGTCACACCCAGCCTCAACTTTATAGTTCTGTAAAAATGTTGTTCACCATTTTTTGACTTTATTATCTATGTACTATAGATGTACTTTCATGGACCACTGAAAGGAAGAAATGGTTCACATGCTTTGCTCAAGAGTGTGATAGGCAACAGGCTTTTAAGGGGCTGCCAGAAAGAGGGGGGGGGCAACGTATTTTCCAAAGCACCAGAAGACAAACAAGAAGCAATGGATGGAAACTGAACAAAGAGAGATGCAACCTAGAACTAAGGAGAAACTTCCTGACAGTGAGAACAATTAACCAGTGGAACTGCTTGCCACCAAAAGTTCTGGGTGCTCAATCACTGGAAATTTTTAAGAAAAGATTGAACAGCCGTTTCTCTAAAATGGTATAGGGTTCCCCCCAAGGTCCCTTCTAAGTGTTATTCTGTTATTCTGACATCTTTCCCAGGACCTCTACTCAGAGTTTGGCATCCTCAGTTTTCCTGCATGAGCAGGGGGTTGGACTAGAAGACCTCCATTGTCCCTTTCAACTCTGTTAAACACACATGTATTTATGCTCTGGACTATAGACATGTAAACCCTGAAAAATACCTGGGCAAAGAAAGGCAGTAAAATCACTCTAGGTGTAGGGATAGTGTAAAATATTAATATATGATAAAAAATGGTACAATTAAAAATAATAGCACAGGGTTTTCTCTCTCCCCCCTTCCTTCCTATCTTCCTTCTATCCTTCCTTCCTATCTTCCCTTCCTTCCTTCCTTTCTATCCCTTCCTTTCTTTCTTGGTGTTTCTTCTCTTTCTTCTCTCCCTCTCTTTTTTTTCTCTTTCCGTATCTTCCCCTCTGTGTGTGAGAGAGAGACAGAGGCAGAGAGAGGGGAGAGTGGGGGGGTGGGGAGAGGTGGCAGTGCATCCTGGAAACACGCTGGCAGTGGGAAATTTCCTTGGGCAGCTCGGAGGGCAGCAGCAGCAGAGCACACCCGGGCGTTCCCCCGGTCAGATCCAGCAGCCCAAGGGGGAGAAAGAGAATGTTCCCTCTCCCTATCTTCCCCTCTCTCCCCCTCCCCGTGTGTGTGTGTGTGCGCGCGCACACACACGCGGTGGAAGTGTCCCTTTGGGCGACCCTTCTCCTCCTCTTGTGACCGGTGGCTATGGTGGTGGTGGATGCACATGCACAAGGAAACGCTCCTCAAACGAGCAGCCGCCTGCCCCGTGCCCGGTTTTTCTGTGCTTTGTCACTCACTTGAGGAGCATTTTCCCGTGCATGTGCACCCTCCCCCATAGCTGCCAGTCATGAGAGGAGGAGGAGGAAGAGAAGGGTCACTCAAAGGGACATTTCCACTGCATGCACAGAGAGAGAAGGGGGGGGGGAAGAGAGGTGGCACTGCGTCCTGGAAACGTGCCGGTGGTGAGGAATTTCCTTGCTTCAGAGGCAGCGGCAGCAGAGCACACCGGGGTATTACCCTGGCCAGATCCAGAAGCACCAGGGGGAGAAAAAGAACATTCCCTTCTCTCCTGGCCAGCGCTGCCATGGCCCCGTGGCTTCTTCGTGGCCAGGAGAAAAATACAACATTCCCTTCTCTCCTGGCCAGCACGGCCATGGCCTTGCAGTTGGGGGGCAGCTAGCTAGCTAGGTCATGGTGAAGCAATCCAGGCAAGCCCAGGGACAGGGGGAGGGACAGCGCAGCGGCCTAGGCTGGTCCAGGAGTCGACTCGACCGGGGCTTGCTTGTAGGCTCACTCACCCAGAGCTGCAGTGGAAAGCAGGCAGCAATGGCGGGCAAAGGCAGGTTAGCAATAGCAGGCGAGATGAGGAATAACTGGGGGTGGGTGGGAAGGAAGGGGCGGGGCCAGCCAGGGGTGCGATTTACCGGTTTTCTGAACTGTGAGACTCATAACATCCGGTTCTATAGAATCAGTCCAAACCGGTAGAATCCCACCCCTGCCCTCAACACTGTCAAACTATTTACTACGTCTGCATTACTATTACTATTAATCCTCCCATCCTTCCTTTCACCCATCTCCTTCCACTTATGGCTGTATGACTATAACTGTTGCTTGTATCCTAACAATTTTTATTGACTGTTTCCTAGTATGATTTGATTGCTTTTTGTATCCTATGACTATTATTAAGTGTTGTATCTTATGATTCTTGACTCTTGATGAATGTATATTTTCTTTTATGTACATTGAGAGCATATGCACCTAGACAAATTCCTTGTGTGTCCAATCACACTTGGCCAATAAAGCATTCTGTCTGTCTGTCTATCTGTCGACTCCAGCTTGGATCTTGAAGATCTGACTTCCATTCCTCCAGCCTGACAAAGATTTCCCCATCTGTGCACAAAGGGGTGGAAACAGCAGATTTCCTGCTAGCTTTGTCATGGATTTTCTGGGGAATTCATCAAAGACTGCAAATAGTAATCACATGATTGCAGGGCACATGGCAGCCAGCTGTAAGTGAGAAGAAGCTGTCAAACACCAAGATTATGATCAGATGACTGTGAGAGAGTGATGGTGACATTTTTCAAGTTCATAAAGCACCTTTCTGAGTGCCAAAACTTCAGTCATTAAATGATGGGATGCAAGTTGAGGACAACCTGTATTATAAATTTGCATGTTGTTTCAATTGTCTTATATGGTTGTTTTTCTCTATTCAAAACCTCTAAATCACTATTCTTGTTGAACAGGTTATAATCAGATACAGAGCAGATATACTCTTTGTGAAAGCACTCCTTATTTCACTAAGGCAACTTCAAATTTGGGGAACATGGCAATTTGGCAAGGAGCTTGGAGATCTTCTATGCTCTCTTCAACAAGAGTAGTGAAATAGGGGTTTTGATTCATTATGCAAGAACTTTTGTGATTTGAAGGATGGGAAGAAATCTAGACTTAAGTAAAAAAGCAGATATGTATAGATAGAGTAGCATGAACATCAAATTATGTTTAAGGAAACAAATCTGACAATTACTAAGCTTGTTAAAAAATGCATATATCACAGCTATCCCATCCAAATATGACTTACTTTGCTCTTTTGGCCATTTCGTTGCCATCCCATCGTGGACTATAGGGATAGTTTTTCTGGGCTTGAGAATATAGTTCTCCACTATTAGTAAAATGATAGACAGACTGAAATGTCAAAGTTGGCTGATCCCGAGGAAAGTAGAGTGGCAAGTCAACTACAAGGAAAAAAGAAAAAAAAAATAAGTTAGTGATTTGTTTTCTTTCTTGATTTCTATCATCTTATATTAACACGAAAACTTGTACGTTAAAATATTTTACAATTTGACAGATGCTTAAAGGATGCTCAATTTACAAGGCCATTCAGTTTTTTTTCAGTTTTTATATATAAAAATAACAAAATAAACCACAGATTAAAAGGTAACTAGACAATATGATTTGCTGTCTACATATGTAAAAAAACATAGCTGGTGATAGAGATGAGCACACCATCTTAAAGATGGGAACTGCTGGGGTTTATTTTATATCAGATAGGCCTGAAGTACTGTATTTTTAGCTTTTCTACATGTCTACCAAGCATGATATAATGTCCCTTCACATTTTTCTTATTTCCAAAATACTTCTCAAATGCCTTAGTATATTCTAGATAATTTCTCCAGACTACAGTGCTACTTTCTGAGAGGTAAATAAATCTAGCCCTTCCCAGTCATTGTGCCTCTATATTTCAACAATGGGCTATTCAGCTATAGTTCTTACTCATTCGCCTTGCATATTCAGTTTCTCTACTGGGCTACAAGGTTAGCATCATTTTATTGCACATGGCAGGTATTTATAATTATTACTTTTTGCAGGTATTCCTGGCACAGGTGATAAAAGTTATGTTAACAAAACATTGAGTTAATTTAGAATGCTGCTGCATAACATTAAACCAGTATTACATTACTGGGCTCACAAAACAAGCCTTAGCTTTACATAATTATCATTATTGTATTCAGTTATGATAGATAAGGCTTTTTTTGAAATAAGGGAAACGAATTATTTTGTTCAGATTTGAATTTTCCCAAGAAATCCTTGATGTGAACTGAAAAAAAAACCAACCTATTTTTTTATTTTTTATAGATTAATTTCTGAATTCACTGTTGTAATAACTAGTTTGAGTATATTAACATGATGACAACTTATAATCATCTTTTATTCAGTTAATTTTTTTTATAAAGCCTTAGGTAGGATTTTTTTTTTTACATTCAGGTGGCCCGTGAGACATCTATTCCAGTGTAATACTGCAAATAATGAAATCTTAAAAAGTAAAAACTTGGATCTATATAGGAATTGGGGGATTAGGTTCCAGAACCTATGATTCTCTTCTTCCTCCCACAAGCACATTTTCTCTTTCTTCTGTTGTGGTTGTCTGTGTAATACACCTGAATTTGCCCTTTGCATAAGATGTTTCTGGGTCTGTCCAGTTAAGAGGTTCCATGTGACTTTCCTGCAATAGCTGACTGATAACAGAAGGAATCACCTTTTTCACAGCTAGTCCGTCATGCTAACTTGTCTACTCTAAGTTCTTTTATAATTTGGGGGAAGAGGCTTCTTGATAACATCACTGGACACTACTGCTATCAACAGACTGACTGTGTAATGCTCAGTTACTACAAATGTTCAATGAGAAGCTAGTGTTCGGCAGCAAAATTAAGAACTGGCTGAAAGTAGTAGTGCACACAGTACTCATCTCCAGGGACACAACAGAATGGCTCACCAGATACCCCAGTATGTGGTATGATCAATTTGATTTTTTTCCATTGTCAGCCAAGCAAATCACTTGGAAGAACGCAGCCAGCTGTTGTGAGGAAGCAATATGGATCCCCACAACTGGCAAGTTCAACCATAACCAAGTGAAAAGATCTACAGCTTACAATCACATGGAAGCCCACAAGCCAATGATATTCATGGTCGAGGAGCAGGAGGAGGAGGAGGAGGAGCAGAAGCAGCAGCAAATATAGGCATGCAGACAATCTAGTCCTAACCCATAAAAACATATTTATCAGTTGTAAAAAAATCCTCTCTACCATTTTCTACCAAAAAAGGGCCAAATCAATAGATATGCAAAACATTTATAGATCAAAGTCTTAAATTATCAGTTGTGGTATGTGAAACAACAGATAATAATACTATGGATGAGATCTACCTGCTTTGGGGGGGTGGGAAAAGGCAACAAAAGAAGATAAATAATATGAAAAATTCAGACTTACAATTTATAATGGGAACTCAAGAATTCCAACGTTAAGAAATTTATTGGCAAAGATAGTTGTCACAAATCTTTTCATGGGTTCTGAGAGACATTTTGCATTTTATCTTTTATCCAGCACTTACTTTCCATAAATGTGACTATATTTTCCTTTCAAGTTCAGGATTACAGCATGCTATGCAAGGAAGTTATTACCATATATCTCGGGTATGTACTTTGAACTCAAAAACATATTCCTATGTGGTTACACTAAAAGGTAATGTGATTTGATAAATGTATCCAGTAACCATGTATGTATAACAATAGCCAAACAAATAATTTTGTTGGTATATATACATATAAAACCATGGAAAAATGTATCCTTTCCTTTGAGACTTGATAAATAAATTCTACTACTACTAATTTATATTTGGGAAGTTAAGAATCAAATTTTAATATGGATGGAATTTGCTGATATATTTAAAATTCTGATTAAACAAATGAAGCGTAAATGCATTTGGTTAAGCACAAAATACACCTGGTTAAGCACAAAATTACATGTGTATATCTTAATAAGGCATGGCTGAGATTGTTTAAAGGAGGAAAAGCAAAAAAGGAAAGTGCAATAATAAGCTATTTGGGAATTAGAGTAGTGTCCTGAAATGGATTTCCTGATGGCAGATTAAGTTCCATCTTGAAAAGAAATAAGATCATAGTTCCAAGAAGGAAAGGGGAAAAAAACTTCACAAAATCAGCTTAGAAAAGTTTAAAATGTGAACTCTTTAATACTTACTGATCATTTTGAAATATAAATAAAATAAAAGTCTAAGAATGCTCTAACTCAGGGGTGTCAAACTCACAAGCGTCATGGCGGCATCACGTGACGTATCAGGACTTTTTCTCCCTTCGCTAAACCAGGCGTGGGCATTGCCAGCGCATGATGCATCTGACCTGCAGGCCATGAGTATGACAGTCCTGCTCTAACCAATACATAAATAACCTTTTTGTACATCTGTACATATTTTTTAAAATAATTTAAAATAAACTCCATTTGCAGTTTCATAATTTTACAATATCCTGGTCCAAAAGTTTCTTCTCCTTGAAATCAGCAGACATTGCTAGAACTCAGTTAAATGAATGTGTACAATGTGTATATATAGACTTGGAATTCCCCTTGTGTTAGCATCCACCATAACACCATCATGGAAATTATTATCAAACTGTCTCTGCTAGGGGACAGAAATGACAAGTAATTTTTTAGATTAAAATACCTACTGTTTCATTCTTGGCTAATGAACGACATAATGATGCCTTTATCTAAAGTGATTTATCATTTAGCAATGTGCTTTTGTAGCATTCTTTGAAAGTCTAAAAAGCAAATCCAAAAGATCTGTTCTGCTCTGTGGGGTCAACACAACCTCCTAAAACCTGGTTATAGTTTTGAGGTTAGGATTTACTTTGTTATTTTCCCTGTGTAATTAAAGTTCATAATTTCTTTTATGTGTTTTCTTGTTTTTTAAATGATTTTCTAACTCTGCATGCTTCTTAAAAGGCAGCTGAATAACTTCATACAACTCATATAAAACATATGATATTTCATAATAAAACTTCAGTAAAGGCAATTTAATATCTGTGGTGTTAGTTTCTATTTTTTTTTTAACTGAAGAATCTCCTTTTTTTTTTTTAAAGTATCTGACCAACTGAACTAGGTATTAATAGCATGTTTAAAAACTTTTGTTCAAAAAGGCAAAAGCTTTCTTTGAAAAGCTTTTGTTTTTAAACAGCTGTAAGTATATAACATTGAAGTCAAGTATAAAAAGCACAATAGAGACAAGACCGTTAATTCATAGAAGCTTTCATTCGTTATGATTAGCCTTTGAGCAATTGTGGTAATTTTCTCCACAGAGGAACTTTTTCAAAGACAAAGGAACTGGGAAGAAATTCTTCCAGTTAACAAGACATTGTAAAAATTCAATTATGGCTAGTTATGGACACAACTCAGTTGTTTCTTACCTACTACTCCCTCCACAACACACCCACTGTCAGGAGTGTCTACAAGATATGATAAAAATAGATAAAGATTGTTTGCCACAACCATGAAATCAAAACTCCACCAGATTTTTGTTGGATATGTTGCGTGTGGAATTAACATAAGAAACAAGAACAGTAGAGCTTTTAATGGCCATACTGACTTTTTCAACAACCAACCACAACACATCCCTGTATATGCTATAACATTTCAACTGACTTGCCCCTGGCACTTTGCATGAGAACTGCTACCACTTTTTCTGAGAATTTCGCTTCTCCTGACTTTAAATCAAGGTTGATTATTTATCTTCTTAGTTCCAAATGATCTCTTTTAGTTTTATTTCTTGCCTCATTAATTAAAATGCACTTAAAATATGCCCAGTATGTATTTCAAATATTTGCCTGAAATCTGTGGTTGCTAGAATTCAGCAGGTTATAAATATGACCATATAAATGAATAAATAACTTATTTTTATACAAGCATCTTTCCTTTGAATAATTCAAGATGATATATGTATGTTCTAACAACCTACAGTACAGGCTGTGTTACAATGCTGGATCACTGAGTGCTGAATAGCTGACTGAATTTGGATCTCTTGTAAACATCATTATTCATATTTATCAAGCGTTATCAAGTTATATAAGCAAAAAAAAAAAAAAGCAGATCCCTTCCCCAAATTTCAACACAAGGAGGAGCAGAAGAAAGAAATGCAAAATAGAGAGGTTTATGTAAAAAAACAGCTTTTATTTCATGCAAAAGTTATGGGTAGGGAGTTTAGCAAAGGTTAAGAAGAGAAATGAATACACACACACACACACACACACACACAGAGAGAGAGAGAGAGAGAGAGAGAGAGAGACAGAGACAGACAGAGAGAGAGAGAGAGAGAGAGAGAGAGAGAGAGAGAGAGAGAGAGAGAGAACAGCTTCTGTGCTTCTGTATGGGAATTTGGAGAAGCAAGATAG